TAAGAACCAAAATGGTACGAACATCAATTGCACATGTTTCCAACTGAAAGGACCCAAAACAGTGAGAAGACAGTGGTACTGCAGCATGATCATAATGTGACCCAGCCATAAGTAAGACTTCCTTGAAAATGAGAAAATTCAATCAATTTTGCACATTGGACACTATATAGCTCCATTCCTTGAAATGGAGCTGAAATCCATGAACCACTGAACAAGAAACTCACAAAAATGTTACAATGCACACTTTACAAGACAATAAGCAAATACAACAGACAAACCAAGAAACTAAGAAATCTTGAAGGTGGATGTGGTCACTTATATGGAATTATACCCATGGTTTAGGTTACTTTGGATGGCACCGATAATTGCACAAGTGACAGCACCCGTGATTCTAATCATTGTGTTATACTGTATGAGAAGACAAAGATTTAGATAGCAAAGACACTGAGGAAGTAAATTAAAATGTAAAGAAGAATATAAAATACTTCATTAAGAGGTAATCCAAGAAAAAGGGATGAGGCATGTTGATACATAAGATTGGAAAATTGGGAGAGAGAGAGAGACTGCAAGTTAAAGGTTAGCCTGGAAACAAGATGAAACCAGTGCCGTCAGCTATAATGTTCAAGGGTGACCAAGTTGCAACAACAGAAAAGTCGTTGAGGCGTAGCAAATTATCAGTGCGGATAAGCACATACTGAATTTCACATAGAATTAAGAAAGGCACCACCATATGAGGCATTATGTGGTAAAAGAAGCTATTAAGAACAAGTAGCAAAACAAAATCAGTGAAAAATCAGCATATAACTATTAGCTTTTTTTATAGATTGGAGACGAATATTTACTTACATTCAATTATGCTATATGGGCTCTGCTTGTACATTGCTTTCTACGCTGAAGAATGATTGTATACAATAAAAATTTAAAATATTCCGGATGACACAAGAACAATAGTAACAAGTGGTGTCTTTTACTACTTAAGCAAGTTTTTAATTACACCATCCTGCAGCTTGTGCACATTCCCAAATGATGAACATAGCTGTACCAGAGCCTGCTGATACTCAAGTGATAGTAGTCCAGTTTGAGTCACCAACTTCATAAAGAAAAATGTTCAAGAAATCTTCAAGTATAGCTTCACATAAGCAAGTATTTTCAAGCAAGTACTGCACTATGCAACCACCATAACCATCTGATAGTCAACTAGAAGCAGTAAAAACGTTTTAAGTAACAAATCTCACCATCCGAAAAGAAGAAAGATCTTGTTCCATCTTGACGAACGTAGAAGTTTGGCCCAAGTTTGTGGCCATTTTTAAATCGAAGCATTGTGTGATCATACAGTCCATAATCTCTGAATAAGACACTTCCACCAGGTTTCAGTATCTGTCATAGACACACAAGAAGCAGAGTCACAATTCTTTCACAACGATGTACAAAGTGGGCCTACAGGAATAATTCATCTGTATTAGTCACATTCTCAGGTGAACTAACAAAAGCCAACACAAGGTCATAAGATATGGATGCATACAGCTTTATAAACAAGACTATTTATAGCAACAAAGTATTCAAATGACTCCACTACTTTTTATTTTTCTCCATTTACAAGATAAATTTCTGATATCCACATCGCTCACCAATGGAGTCTCCATCCAATTAACAAAAATTCTTTTAGATATCATGTTGAATATTTTTAAGTTATAAAATGTACACGTTTCTGAAAGCAGATAACAAAGCTAACACAGCAGATATTAATTTACTTCAAGTTCAACCTCACCACTTTGACAGAAAATATTTATCTAATCTCTCTGAATGTTCCCTAATTAAATCACCATGAATGAGATGACAACATGTCTACCATTAAATACTAACTTTATATATATTTTCTAATGCCAGCTGCATCTTGTCAGGATGAATAGCAGAAAGCACGAAGATCAGTGTTACAACATCGACGGAGTCTGCTGGTACATTCTTCAGTAAACTGTCCTTAGTTAGATCACACTGAAAGGCTTTACATCGTTCAGCATTATATAAGTGATTTTGCTTTAAAAGAAACAAACACAAGAGTAGATAAGGAATGTGTACAGAATGTTCCTATCAATTGCACTTGAAAATGTGATTAGTTCCAACAATTTTTTTAAGCATTCAACTGATATTCTAAACAGGTCATGAATTAATAGGAGCATTTGAAGAAGTTGTTAAACTTGGCAATACAAGTACTTCTCTCTGGTACCTTACACCTATGACCTCTGCTATTATACCCACCTCCCAACAATTCTCATGTCAAACCAATCTCACTATTTCATGCCACATCTTCCCTCACTTACTGTCAAGTCCAACCCCCAAGAGCAGTAACCTTGCATGCCGTCTGTGCTGCCTAATCACTCACTTGGGGCACACCCCCACCTACACCAAAAGTAACAGCTGAGTCACTCACCTATGTCTCTCTTAATATATCCTCTCTTGCATTCAAGGAGGAAAGACTCTAGAAGGGTGACATGCTGCCTGACATTCAGCTCCTCACCCCTTAAGTGGACAGTGTACTGATTGACTGCTGAATGGCTAACTGACTGTTTCCAAGCCCCTGACCAAGTAAAGATGCCCTTTAATTACTGTGCCAGACCCCTGAGCGAAGGCTAGCTCCCTTAACTTGACTGAGGCCTGCTGCCAACCACAACAGGCTTACTTGTGTCTGGGTTCAACAGCAAAGTAAGACAAAAGTAAGGCGAGACTACTATCTCTGGCTGAGGGCGGTGTAAAGTGCAAAAAGGCAAGACAAGGCAGGGATGCTATCAGCATTCAGCAATGCTCAGTGAGTGAGTGCTGTGATAGCATGTTAAGAGCCCAGAGATGGGACCAGTCCATGAGCAGTGTTCTTTCTGTAGCATTACAATGCTAGTTGCTAGTGCAGCACTGAAGTGCAGAAGCATTTTGTAAATAAGTCACAGATGTGCCACGAGGAGCCGTTAAAGGCTGACACAAATCAGATGCCGATGTCTGGGCCATGGGGCACGTGTGGCCAATGCCCATGAAGCATGCCTGGAAATGCTGGTGCCAGGTGCCCAAAATAGATGTCCTTTAGATCAAGTGGCAAACTGAACTCATTAAGTACTTGCTGTGGTTTCAAAGTCTTGTTTTCTTGACATCTAGCTTGTTTAGCAAGCTTGCAAAAATCGAAAGCTGAATATTAAATGAGGAGTAATCTCTCTTAATAATAACTTGCTGGTGTCTAGCAAGGAATCTGCTATCCTTCTTGTCACAAGCATAAAGAATGGAGGGCTCATGAGGTGTAGTAGCAGTATCCCTATCTCTGAGCCAGAAGGCCTGAGTTCAAGTCACAGCCACTCCAGAGATACATCATTACGTGCCTGAATAAGTTGACTAAACATATCAAAAAGATAGAGGGAAATACTTCTGATGCAGAGATTGGCCTTGCTGGACTTCTTGTCTGATTCTGCCACAAATCCTGCCATAGTCCACATTGCTCAAGATCCCTACAAGATTCTGCCCTACATTTCAACTATTTAATTGGTTGCAAAGAACTTTGGGACTACCTAAGGTTTTGCAAGGTCGTATATAAGTTTATTTTCTTTCAAGATTGTACATTCAGATCAATGCTGTTGAGAACTAGTTGTATCATACATTTTCTGTGCAAACCGCCTTTACTACTAAAAGTATTTCTACTGTACATGTATCGTCTGCTCTACCCTAAATATTTCAAAGATGTAAAATCAAATCAAGAAACACATTAAAGCCAATTACAAACAGTCCCATGTGTACCTTCACAAATTCTATCGCTCGAGGAGAGAAATCACACGCGTAAATGAAGACATTCAGATCATCCTCTAAAAGAGGGAATAAGCAGTTCCCAACTCCACAGCCAGCTTCCAAGACAATTAGTTTTTGATTCTCAAACTGTAAGAAGCAAACAAGCAATAATTTTTTTTAAAGAAATGAACTTTTACAGAACACTTAATATTGTTAAATGATTAACTGCACTTCATGCCAGAAAAGTGGATATATTCAGCAAGAATAGAGGAGATAACCAGGATGGTCAGGTTGGAGAATCCATAAAATGTGGAGCTGGAGGAGCGCAGCAGGTCAGAGGGCAGAGGAGCAGGAAAGTCGATGTTTCAGGTTGGGACTCTTCATCAGGGCTGGGGAGGGGGAAGGAAACTCTGAAACAAATGGTGGGGGGGGAGTAAAAGAGCGAGGCTGGGGGAAGGTAGGGGGTTGTAGAGATTTGTCAGCCCCACATCCCCCCCATTTATTTCCGACTTTCCTTCCCCCTCCCCAGTTCTGACCTGACATTTTGACTTTCCTGCTCCTCTGATGCTATCTGACCTGCTGTGTTCCTCCAGCTCCACATTTTATCAACTCTGACTTCCAGCATCTGCGGTCCTTGCTATCTCCTAGGCAGATTGGAGAAACTGATAGAAAGAAGTGGTTTCATGAGGATATTCAGACAGGTGAAGGGTCTGTCATCTGATGGATGAATGGCTGAGAGAGATGCACTGGGGGAAAAAAAATTAGAAGATCAAAGGACGCAGGGTGGAATGCAATGTTGGAAGCAAGAAAGGGGCAAGACTGAGAATGGGTTTTAAATAGATTTTGAACTTAGTCATTTTAGAGACAAGGCACTATTGGAGGTCAACAAGTAGGAAGTAATGAGCAATAGGACAGGATATGGCAACACCGTGTTGAATGAGCTATGTTTTGCTTGAATGAACCATTAATGAGTCAAATCTTTCAATCACAAAAACATATAGAAGATGTGCACTGTCAGTAGATGATGCAGACGTGCCGGTGTTGGACTGCGGTGAACAAGGTCAGAAATCACACGACACCAGGTTATAGTCCAACAGGTTTATTTGACAACACAAGCTTTTGGAGAAGAAGGACCGAGGCTCCTAAAGCCTGTGTTGTCAAATAAACCTGTTGGACTAGAACCTGGTGTCGTGTGATTTCTGACACCGTCAGGAGAGATAGACAATGTTCTACAGGTGGAAGTAGGCAATCATGACAGTGGATAAGGAATGGAGTTTTAAGTTTAACAAAGTAGCAGAACAATGAATTTTAGCAGCCACTAAGTAAATAGCTGGGAATGTGATGGTATTGTAGCTCAGGGTGCAGTAATAGAAGTCCCATGAAATGGATTCAGTTTTCTCAACGTACTACTGTAGGGCAAATTTAGCCTGATGTACCTATCGATATTTGGTGGATGTTCTGCTAAAAGATGGGAATGATATTATTGATTGTTTAGAGATAAAGCTGGAGGACTAGCACGTATATTGAAACGGATCCCAAGTCTGTGGATAATGTTTTTGTTGGTAGCATATGAACAGAGGTATTGGCAAAGACGGGACCTTAGAATATGCTTGGGATTACAACAAGTATTGGAAGGGGGTGAAAGAAGTCATTCCTGAAGATGAGATAGTAGGAACTGCCGATGCTGGAGAATCTGAGATAACAAGGTGTAGAGCTGGATGAACACAGCAGGCCAAGCAGCATCAGAGGAGCAGGAAAGCTGACGTTTCGGGTCT